CTCCCCTCTTTGCGGGGTTGTTGGCGACCGGCTTCTCATAGGTCTGCTGTTGCCTCTCTCTGTCGCCCCGTGTAAACGGCATTGTGGGTCTGCTCGCTCATGTTGTTTCCTGAAACCGGTGGCGCACGTACCTCCCCCATACCTGCACAGTTTGCATTGTTTCTCCATCCCCCCGTAGGTCAGTCTTCACTATGTCGTCCTTCCTGCCAAAATCACGATCTGGTAGTAGCTGGTCTCCCCCGCCCAACGTCAAGGCAGCAGGTGATCGGCGGAGTGGCAAAGGAAAGGAGGCCGTGGATGGAGTGGAGCGTCCCCTCGCTGGCAAGGGCGTCCAAGGTCTGGTACTTGCAGTCACCAGGTCCCCCCAAGATCGTTGTATTTTGAACTTCACCTTCACGGTTAGGGACCTGTCCGAGGGCCTATGAAGCAATTTGGCAGCAGATACGTGACTCAAGCCTCCCCCCGCTTACAGGAGCGTCCACCCTCCAAAGTTGCTGGGGACAGCCAGCAGCCTCGGAGGGCCGTCCTCAAGCGCCCCCCCCACAGGGAGAGAGCGGCGGGTCGACTTGAGCCAAAATGGCTACTCTCTCTGTTTCTTTCGGCAGGGTTATGGGCAGGGGAAGTCCCCTACCCGCGCGCACTCAGGCGCCCCCGACAGGTGCGGAGGAGGTGGGCATACGCATACACACGCGCCATAAAGGCAAGTATCGCCATGTGAGAAGATGAATACACTCAACCAGGGGAAACAAGCCCCGAAATGTTCATACGATCAGATGCAACTAGAGGAAACAAGCCCCGCAGAGGTAACCCAACGACATCAATTCTAGCGATGCTGTGCTCACGATGCCTTGGACATGACGCCAATTCCTCTAAGCAATCAAGGGAACTAAGTAAGCATGCCGAAACTAACTGAAGAAGGCGGAATGGTGCGGTGACTGTCACCTGGTGGGCATCACGCGTGATCTGAGACGGTCAAGCACATGCTGTCAGAAAGAAAAAGAAGACGGTAAAGACATTATGACTACAGCTAGGCATGTGCTTGGGTTGTGTACTGGTCAGCGGGCTTAACGGGGGCAGCAATGAAATGAAAGAAAACAAGACGGGCGAGGATAAGGTAAGATTATATCTAGGAAATAAACATTCTTGCTTCGCCCTGCTCCAGCGTATGTGCTGTAACTGTCCAGCGGCAGGCGGCTTGACAAGGGCAGCAACACTGAACAGGGACTGTCAAAAGCATCCAACGAATACAGGAACGACTTCTTGCCGCATCTGCCTGCAGGGTACGTGGACTTCTGCTTTGTCGAAGGAAAAAAGGCTTAAATGACAAACACAAAGGACCTAGTGTAACCCAGCGAGAGCAGAGAATCTGTCCGCACCCTTAGGCTCCCAGGAGCCGGTTGTTGGCCAGGGGGATTTTCCCCTATGGGCACACATGACTACTATGCTACTTGGCTCAGCTGGCGTCAGACTCACTTGTATTCGCCAGCGCTGCAGCAAGCCTTCTCCGTCTGTGGGAAGAAGCCCCATGTACGGCAGGGATAGGGAATGTCTCCCCTTGCCGTGGCTCTTCTCGTGCTGTCACTGGCGAGGCGGTGGTATTTGGCATAGTTTCCACCGGCGTGGTCCACCGGCAGGGTTTCCGCCGCGCTGAGTGCGTCATCATCAAAGGAGTCCACCAACTGAATTGGATGCCCCCATAGAGCCGTGGTCCATTGCGCCAGGTGGGCATGTGCTTCATTTAGCTGGGCAGCGACTTCTTGCTCCACAGAGGGGGTGACTCTCCTTAATATGTCCTGCGCTTTCAGCACATCGAAGGGGGCAGCGTCCCCTATTGCAGCGGGTGTCGGCGGCGATACTCGTGTCCGGGGTCGTGCCGTAGGGGGGCTTCATGAGGTTGATGATGGAGCCAGGGTGGTTCGTGTAGTAGAGCTCGAAGGTCGCTCTTCCAGTCGTCGTCGTTTGTCCATCGGTTGCTCTTCAAGTCGGTGGGGTTTTTGCTGGATCCAGCCAATGAGGGTACGCATGTACCCGGTACTTCGTTGTACTGCATGGCGCGCGGTGGCCAGGTATTCGCTGACTTGGACGGTGGAGCCCTCACTGACCACCAAGTTTGTCCACTCTAGTGCATCCAGCGCGTTCTTCACCCCTGCGACTCCCTCGTGCGCCCCAGGAGCTCGGGGGTCCTTCCCCCATGCCGAGAAGATTTGCTTTGCTTCCAGCAGAAGTTGGGAGATACTCTCTCTTCTTCAACACAGACTAGAGAGAGGCACGAATGCACCCCTCCCTGCGCGCGCACGCGCCCTGGTGGTCTCTGGTCCGACTCGAAGACTACACGCTGAGGCCGTGAGGTTTGCAACTGTTGGACCCCCTCTATTGGCTAATGAACCCCCGGCCTCACGCAAGCTCCAGACTAAGGCTCACACCAGTATCTCTCTCTCTCTCTCTCTCCCTCTCTCTCACTCACTCACAAACTAGACAAACATCTAGATGGCAAGTGCGATCGCTTCAATGAGACTAGCTTTGACGTTTCCTCGCGACCCGTGTTCCAGTCCGTTCAACAACACAGCAAATGCTCGCCCATCCTTCTGACAATGCTAAGTTCATTCGTAAGAATCCTGCCAAAGCTCCATGCAATTCAAACTACTCCCTGCTGCGTCGTAATTCCGTAAGCAGTCTCGGAGTCAAAGCACAACAACCTGCTTCGGAACACTTAGCAATCAAGTTTTAGTGCCACCACACCCTCCTGGCACACGCAATTGCACAGAGAAGCCCACATGCCTGTCCCAACGGCTTCATGCCCGAAGCCTGCGAGGGCTTCATGGGACTTGACTATCATGGTCAACGAGCTGTAGGAAAGTCTGGCACCCTGCAGTGCATTATTCTACGCTGCCTTTGAAGTGAATTTTCACGGCGGACTCCGTCATGTCACCTGAGCAACTTGTCTTCTGCTCCGAGGAAAGGCTTCAGCACGAAGAGACCAAGCCCAGTGCCTTGAAAACAGAAACCAGAACAGCCACGCCTCGGACATCCGGATCCATCCGACGGAACCCCGCTGTATTATTTGTGAATGGCTGTGGGCATTGACAACTGCACGCGAAAGGCCAACAAGCTCAAAGTCCAAAAAAGGATTTTTAAACAGGAAGACACGAAAGGGTAAAAGTTTCGAGAAGTCAAGAAAATCCACGAAAAGTCGATGCTTGGGTGAAACCCAAAATGGTTCAAGAATCAACCAGATTCCCTATGCCTATGTCTTGTCGACGTTTTTGGAAGCACGCAAAGGCCAAAAATCATCGAAAATTTCCACTAAGCGTTCCCCAACCAAGAAAAATGCGCCAATCCTTTCGTTTGTTTCGGTTGCTTTTGGAGATGCGTCCAATTTGGCTCGCACAAGGCCACTGGCTGGCTCCCCAGACCCGAAACATAGGCCAAAATGCCTGTCGTAGGACACACATAACGCTCAAAACTTATTGAAGGTTGCCGCCTTGTTCATTCTAATTGCTCCGAGGATGTTCAACATGGACGAATCACTGGCTCCAAAGGCCCGAACAATAGAACAAGACTCCATATGCTTTGGCCACTTCAGGAAAGAGCGCACCTAACCCAAGACTCCGCCAAAATACCTACGCATGCTTTGGCTACCTTATTGGTTGCTTTGGTCGGAACCCGAAGCTTGAAACTCAGCAAAGCTTACAGTTTGGTGGGGGCTGCTTACAAGCTCGATTCTGCTTAAAACTACTGCACGACTAGTGACTGGTGACAGTGCTACACACGCCGACAATCCTGAGGCCAGAGGCCTCCATGTCGTGGTAAAGGCTTCCCCCCCCCCCCCCCCCGCGGGGGGTGTTCGACCTGTAAGATCATTGTTGAAAGGTCCGGGTCTCGGAGTTTGGGCGTGCTTCCCACACACCTCACTTGCACTACTTCGGGTTTGGTGGATTCTTCCAGACTGGCTGTCATGGCTGAAACACCACAAGCGCAGGCTCCGAGTCCAATTGCTCCTGTTGCATCAGGTGCAGACTTTAGCCTTGCCATGCCTTGCCCCTTCAAACCCCTCCCCTCCCATCTCTTCACTTTCTTCACTTGCAGCAGGTTGGGGCCCTCCTCCTAGCAAACGGCTTCGAAGACGCACCTGACCGTCCCCGACACGTCTCTCGAGCTGGTGGTTGAATTTCCTAGCTGCCTCGGATCCGACAAGTGCCCAAACACGAAAAGTTGAAAAGCCAATCCAAGCACCGACAGGTTGGAAAAGAGCAGAAGAGCACGAAAGGTCCCCAAACAACGACAATGACCGAAAAAAGACGACAAGCACCGACAAACACCAACAGTGGAACAGCCGGCAGACCCGAACAGTACCGAAAAAACCGAGCAGCACTCAAAAACACGAAAAGCAGTCGCAAAGTCGAAAAGTCAACATCTTCTCGACGTTTTGCCTTTTCGATTTATTGAAATTTGATTCGGCTCTCCGCTTATCGAAACCAACGCCTGCTTGCGCACACAACATGAAAACGAAAAACTCAGGACCACGCAATGTATGACATCTTGACATGGCCTCCTGCACTGTCATCGTCTCGACCTCGCCATTGCACAAGGGGGCCCGATGAGACCCGTCTCCGGACGGGAGGCTCCGCATGTTGTACTGTTTAGTGGTGAACATACCATCTTGGCACTGACGAAGTGTCGTATTCCAAGCCATGCGCATGTGTCTGTCAGAGAGAACCACATCCGGACTTGGGTCACCACCAGGATGTCATCGGAAGCGCTGTTTCCCTGAGAGGTGCAACGTGTCAGCAAGCGCGAGTAGAAATCGACTGGAGCTCTGGAGCTTCGGCCGGAACTTGAAGACGACCCTCACGCTGTTCAAAGCCTCAAAACACAAAGGGCCTATGGCTATCGCTGCAGCGCAGCACTGAGTCGTTCCATTCGTGAGCGGCCGACGGCCCATCAGAAACAGGATGTCCTCAAGCTGTCAAGTCATGTGCTTCGTCGTCTTGCTTTCCATTTCATTTTGAGGGCAGCGCTCGCTTGAGTTCGTTCTTCTCATACTGAAGCAACATACGCCTCAGTTGCCAAAGAACGACGCGAAGACCGCGGTTGCTGGTGCTGCGGCTTTGAGGCCCCAGCGTCCGCATTGTGGAATCTGCCTCCAGCACATGCAGATCTGCATCATCGCCTGACGATTCGGCGCCCGCCCCCTACAAGCCAGCACCCCCAGCATCTCACGAAGGGAAACATACGCATTTGCACTCACGAAAAGCCGTGCAAGCCTGGGTTCCATCCTGGCGGTCTGGGAGCAGATTCCAAAGACCTAGGTGTCAATGCAGCACTTCTGGTGGAGTTTGCTCCAGGGCTTGCAGGGACCTGACGCTAATGCATTGTGCAAGGGTTGTGTCAGCGTCTCGTCTCGAAAATCACCTCTCTCACGCGTAGCTCCGGGATCGAAAGCAGCAACCGGTGACCGGCCTTCCAGCCCTGGACGATACACTCCATCAGGATCCTCTGCGAACAACCTCCGCAAGACCTGGAACACAGGTCAACCATCTCAAACTCAGGAAGGCATGCCTGCAGAACCTCCAGTTTGATGAATCGCGTTCGTCTCATCAGGCCATAGAAACCGCCGGTGCTGCCTGTGTCGATCTGCACAAGTCTGCATGGACCTCCTCTCTCAAACTCCGTTTGCCGAAGCGGATTCAGTCTGCTTTTCGTTTTTTCGAGGTTCAATTTCCATCTTGTTCGTTGCATCTCTGTGTTAGGGATCCGGCGCCACACAGGGACAAGAATTGATGAAGCGATCCCCGGGAATCTAGACTAAATCACAACCCGTCCGTATGATCCTGGCAAGGCTTGGCTTAGGTCTTAGGCTTAGGTTCGCCTTGTCTGGCTGAAACTGACTGGTGAGGCTATGGGCACAGGGCCAGCTTTTGCGGAAGGACTTGATTTTACCTCGAAGTCTTATTTGGCCTGCACGGCGCATGCCTCCCTTGTTTAACCCGGGCTGAGCAAACTACAAACAGAAGAACCAAACCAAACAGATTGCCGACTCTTGGGAAGCAGGCCATCCGGCCGACCCAGATCGGTCCTGGAAGCCAGCTGAGGATTCACGCGGCTTCGACTCTCGGCTACCAGTAGGGCGCGAGCAGAGCATATTGGACTTGAACTTCGTGCCATGGCCTCTAGGCTCGCCACATAAGTGCGCACATCAAAAGCCTAAATCTTCGCTTTCCGACTGAGCACATGGCTTTGCCTTGACTTCAACCTGAGCACCCGCGAGTCTGACACGAATGTGACATGGGCAAAGATGCAAGTGGCACAAACGCTTTGCAGACAATGCTGCGATGCACTGTATTCAGCAGCACACAGGGATACACAGGGTAGCCCTAGAGCTTCGCACGAAACGGCCGCCCGACTCGTATGCGCAAGCGTAGAGAACAGATAAGCCAAACGGGATGAGCCTGAAGCCTCCTTGGACAATGTCTTACATTCACGATGTTTGTGGTTGTCTTGGCTTTGGTCGGTTGTGCTTTGCATCGGCTCAAGACATCTGCTGTGCAACACCGCGGTAGCTGGCTGACGCGTGAAGAAAGTGTGTGCTGCACACGCACAGAGACAAGAATAAGGGCCAACTCCATCTTCTCCGTCATTGGTGGGGATAATGAACTTCGGCCTCGGCCGAAACTCTAAACACTCAAAGCCAGCTCGCACGCCTCGAGTGACTGAGTTAGCTACGGCTGGTTTACCGTGTCGCCGTGCAGCTGTGCCTGCTCTGCAAGCTTATCTGCAGTTCGGGGCACGCCGGACTCGACCTCTTGGAGGCTGCGCGACGGAGCCCCACTTCGGCATCGACCAGCACCAGATGTCTGCAAAATCGACCAAGTGAGTGGGTGCTTTGGACAGCCAGCTTTTCACCAGCCTGCGATACAAGAATGGGACCTTGAACAAGGATCTGGACCTGGAGGGTCAGGCAGACAGGGGCACCTGGAGGACGCAATATGACCAGGAAGGCCTTACCCGGCGAAAGCGTGAATCTGTGCCATCTCCAGCCTGAATCAGCAAAATGATTTCTTGGGTAGCTCTCGCCGTCTGAGTCTATGATCACTTGCAATGGCCTAGGGCTGCGTTGAAGCGCATTCGATGGCAATCAGGAGGAACCTGCATGCCCACACGAACTCGCGAACTTGATTGGTTGTTCCACATGGTCCGGTACCTTCGGCTCTATCCTCACCACAGGAGGAGTTCGCGGATCGTGCACCTGGCCGGGATGGTGAGCGGGGAATGTCGAGTCTAGCTTCCAAGGAGACTAGGAGGCTGGCCAGCACCCTGGAGGTGACGATTGAAGATGGTCGGTCCTCAGGCACTTCTACTTCGCCAGGCACATGCATCAGCCAATCATCTCAGCCGCATGCACCAGAGCTGTCCCAGCACAGGTCTTGCAAGAGGTTCTTGAACAAAGCACCTACAGTGGGGCAGCCGGGTCCGGAACATGCCAGCAGTAACGACGTCTGGTGCCACGTGTCTGCGCACATCTGAGACCATTGCGTACAAGGGAATGTACCTTTGTCTTTTTCCGACCTCGTCGGCAGGTTCGATGGTACACTGCGGGGTACACTTGTGATTACAGAAAGCCCCCGGGCCTCCAATTCCCACGGCTTCGTCTCGCGAAACTTGGTGAAATCGAAACAGCCTGCTGGATGAAGTGTTCAGAGATATCTGGGGCATGGGATGCAGAGTTGAAAGAACTTTGCATGGTTCAACATGCTGCCAAAACCTGTTAACGGGCTTCTGCATATGAGTTGCCTGACAGCCCGCTGGAATCGGGCTGCTTTGCGGGTGCCGGCCTGTGAAAAATGGATCAATGCCAAGAAACCGCAACCGGTCGCATGGCCAAGCACACGCCATACAAAGCTGCACCACCATGTTTCGAGTCAAGAGCCGTCGAGTCTGCCAGTTATTCGGCAGGCATGCTGTACAAGTGAGCCTTGCGAGACAATAGTCGGAACACCTACATTTTGCAGAAGTTCGACCGAGGCTTTCTCTGATTTGAATACAGTGATGCTTCGCAGAGTCCTGCCATACCTATCTGACCTCATCTGATGTGTCTGCGTTGTAACTTCTGCAAAGATTCACAAAATGCACGGTGGGGTTGTAGGACTCGTGTCGCCTCAGCGCGACAGAATAGACCGGCCCTTTCCAGACGCATTCACTGTCTGCGGTTCAGAAGCTGAGCTCCGGCTGAGATTGCCCCAAGCAAGGCTGCAACGACCTGGCGTGCGCTGACCCGCACACCAAACCCAAGGCTGCAACGACCTGGCGTGCGCAGACCCGCACACCAAACCCAAAGCGATGCTGCAATCTCAAAGTGCGAGTGGCCTTCTTGGCTTTTGCCCCAAGCCGGTCCCCCTCAGCCTGCACAGCGCCCGGCATGGGCTTCGAGATCTCGAAGGCAGCCTCCAACATACTACCGCAAACCCTCAACACCAACGTAAGAATGGCAGGCGCCTGCTGTAGCACGGAAGCCTTGGAGGGGTCAGGAGCTCGTCAGGCAACGGCGGAGGAGTTGCCATGATCTGCGTCAGCAATTCCTCCCAAAGCGCTTGACCAAAGGCTAGCAGGCTGGCAAAGGCGGACGTCGGGCACATGTCCTGCGACACCGGATCATGGTCTTCGTCCACTGCCCCGTTTTCAGAAGCATCCTCTGGCACGGCCCCCTCAGGACGCAAGGCCTCAGGCTCACAAACGCAAAAACACCTAGCAGTCTGTACCTGCACTGAAAAAATCTCCAGCCTCGGGCAATGAAAACTCGTGCGAGCGGAAGTCTGGACAGTCGGCAACATCATGGCATTTCTGATACACCACCCAGCGCTTCTGGTTGATCACCAAGTAGATGCCGTTAGACTTGTGGGATGCACCCTTCTTGAAGCAAAAGCGATTATTGACCAAGGAAACCACCATGTACTCTCCGCTTCCCATCAACAAACTTCGCTGGACACGAGTTGGGTTTGTAAAGGCTGCTTGTCCCTCGTTCTTGAAGCGCACGTCGTCCCACAACTCAACAAGGTACCTTGGACAACGGCAGGCTGCAGGCTACTGCACTGAGAGAATGCTAAGCACGCATGCCGCATAAGACAGCCCAAAATTGGGTGCCCTTGAGTGAAACATATCCATACTACAGGCATCAACTCTGTCAATTCCGATCAACTGATGCTAACATTCAAAAATGCCTGCTAGAGTGGACGGTTCGGGGACATATAGTTGAAGCCCCTTAAAGCTGTCCCCGACTGGTGGCTTTGATGCTGACTCCTGGCCGACTCGTACCACAAACTGGCTCTCGCGCATTCGCCAGCACCCCGCTGCAATCCTCACTTTTTGCATAACTTCAACTCAGGTGCCGGTGAAGTGCTGCATTCTCGGAAAGCGGCAACTCCTTAACCTTGATTAAAGGCCAGGACGAATGTCAACACGTGGAGCAAGCACCAAAGGGCGAAAATACCGGGCAGCATCATCTGCCGAGAGCCGCGGGCGCACATGCGCGGACGTGTCCGGGCAGTTTCGTCGAAGATCTTTGTGCTGCAAGTCCGGTGGGAGTATTGGATGCCTGTTCTGAGAGCAAGCACAGCAACTGCGACCCCAGCTGGTCGCAGCTGGTTACAGACCGATTCAGGCTGGAAAGTCTCAGCTCAGTCGCCTGAAGAGCGGCGTGCCTTCCGGAACACCGGCTACAAGGCTTTCAAAGAGCGCCACGGCTGGAGTGCTCTGCCAAGTCGGTAGAAGCGGCCGGCGCTTGCCAAACCTGGACATCAAATCATCAGAGTACACACGTACAAACGTACGAACGCATGCATCTGTGCAGACTGAATACACAAACGCAACTACATGAACATGCATATATGCATGCATACATGTGCGTATGTGTATACATGTATATGTATGTGTACGTATTGTGCATCTGTGTGTTGATGTGCATGCCTGGGTTTTCGCATGCGCATGTGCCTTCCTAAGTGTTCCTACATGTTTTGTGTATACACGTGTACGTTTATGCACATATACATACATGCATGTGTGTGCGCGCGCATGTGAAAAGTAATTGTGCGTAATTATGTGTGTTTTTATGCATGTATGAGGTGTACGTTTGTGAAATGATGTGGAGTGTATGCATGTATGTATGCATGCATGAACTATGTTTGCGTGTATGCATGCTCTTCGCAGCATTCCCCCGCGCAACGTGCACCCATCCGTTGCCCGCACAACTGGCAATTTTGTGCAGCACCGGGGCTGCCGTGCTCCAGGGCTAACGGTTTCGTATCCATCAGGGGAGACATCCGGTAGAGCATATACTGAGCAGGTACCCAATGGACAGATGCATTCACAAGCAAGGCGCTATTGCACATCGCTGCAACATGGGTCTGTGCCCGTCGACAGAGCCCTGCCACGCCACTTCTTCGGTTGGGCTGAGCATATAAGGCTCGGGCTTTTGTAACAAGGATGCTCGAATAATCATCCCTTTGCCTGACACCACGGCAATGCTCGGATTATCAGAAAACGTAATAACCTAGTGCCATCAACTGTCGGTGGACACACCGAACTCACTGTACATAGCCCACAACCCCTCCAGCTCCGCCAAGTCATCATCCAGGGCTAGTGCTTCAGAGCCCAAACTGGCTTTGACAGCTCTTCTCACCCGATGGGTTCGCCATGAGTTCAAGCTGATCGAAGTCGGCAGCCGCAGCTTCAAGCATCTTCGTGTAGGCGAAGCAACGACGAAGCCGGATGCATCCGACAGGGCCATCCACCACCCGTCTGCCAAGAGACTAAGCAGTGTGCGCATCTCGGGGTTCCTGGTCGCCTGCAACTCCTTCACTGCCGTGTTCACTTGTTTGCTGTTATGGGTCCGGGGCCACTCCTTGTCCCAACTCAGTGACCTAGAGCAGGCAGCTCCCATGCGCCTTCTGTCCGATTCACACCAAGGAACCACCCCCCCTGCGCAAGAGGCTGATCTCCGTCTACCAAACGTGAATCGAACTCTGAAATCTTCCATCTTGGCGGGGGTCAAGGTGCTCTCCTGGTCCGGGGCCAACAATGCTTTGCGGACTGTCCTGCGCCAGCTTGCTGGTGCATGTCACAGCCCACTTCTTGTCGGGTATTCCACTCGGAGGCATTGTCGCGTAAAGCGAACCATCTGCCCTCTCTTTTGGCTGGCGATCTGAAACGTGTGAGGTATTCGCAGAACGACATCTATTATTGTCCACACATCGGAACCAGAGGCTCCAGCGTCTGTTCGGGCAGACGAAAAAAGTGCTCGGCGCTGTCGAGCTCCAGGCCGTCATCGCACCTGTCTGCACGTGTTTTGGCCTTCAGGTCAATCAAAACTCATTTGGGCCCGGTGATCTCCGTAACATTGGCCTCCACACCGCCTCGAGAGCACGGGCATCTGGAAGAACTCGCCGATGGTCCACGTAGCTCCCGAAGAGGCGATTTCGAGCCTTTTCCAACCGCACCAGGCTCCCCTGTCACACCTCCCTATCCCTTGCCCTTGCCTTTTTACTTGCCTGTTCCTTTCCCTTTGCCTTTCAGCCTCTCATTCGTCTAGTAGAAGACAAAGGAAATGTGTGAACCCACAAATTCTATGCTTTATCCAGCAAAGGAGGAGCTGGATCTTCCAACAACATGTAGGCCTGGCGGTCTGGCGTGCGCTCGGCATCCATTTCCATGAACTCCCCGAATTAATAGAGTCATAGAAGTACGTCTCTCCGCTGTCCGGGTCGTACCAGTCCCGGCATCCGTGCCCCTTCTCCCCAGTAAGCGGCAGACCTCCCTTGCACAGGTACTCCAAGTTGTCGCTGAAGATTGTCCGGATCGCTCTGTCCATCTTCTGCTAGTCGATGCTCTTGTCGGTGAGCACTCGGCTGCGTTGCTGCTGGTCCTCCGCTTTGTCGAAGGATCAGGTGAAAGAGGAGGTGCAATATCGACTGATCGTCGATAATCCGCAGGATGTTCTTGTAACCGTCCTCGGCAGGAACGTCGTTGATGGGCAAACGTGTCTCAGCTGGATGGCCCAGTCGGGCCCAAACGGGGATCACACCCATGATCCGCTTCCCGAGCGTCAGCCTCGATCAACCACCACTTCGACGACCTTGAGTAAAGCCTATTTCAAGATTTTCACCGTTCCATGTCGGTGGGTGCTCCCTTCGCCTCTGGGATCCATCCAGCCCAGACCCGGCTTGACGATCTCGCCCTCCAGCTTCCTCAATATCCATTACACATTCTCCACCCGCATCCACTGCACCACCGAACTGGCAGTCAGATTCGAAGTTCACGAAACCGAGTAAAAGGCAACTGTCATTGTCTGTCGCGATACCGCGAACCGTGCAGTTGATGCGCTGCTGGGGTCGAAGTCTCGGACTCGTCAGTCTGCCCGCACGAACAAGTTGTGAGCTCCAGCTTCAGTTCCTGCAAACCCAGCCGGAGCCCAGCGTGCAAGGCGCGCCTAGCGGTGGTCTGTTGCCGGTGTCCGCGGAGCACCCAGTGCCATGCGACGTTTGTGGCTGTTATTTTCCGAGCAGACGCATCATGCTCACGCACAGGTCCCGGAAACACCTTGATGCATTCACCTTGCGCCCAACACTGGGGTTGTCCCTAACTGACTCCTATACCCGGCACACCATTGATGGGATGTCTACATGCCGTCACTGAACACCGGAGAATCCGACCAGTGAGCATGGAGCACAGGTACCTCCTGTTCATGATATGGGGCATTCGTGCCGGACCGCTTCGTTGGGCACTTCGCGTGTTTTTTGTTGATGACGAGGAGTTTGCAGGTTTGTGCAGCCGAAAATGGAAGGAGACATTGCATCATACAGACTTTTTGCAATCAATGGGTGTCCATGCATGGGCCTGGAGCAAAGCAGCATATCCGTTGCATGCATCCGAAAGAGTATGCACTGCAGAAGGAGGCAACCGCCCGCCAGACTGCTCTCGGCTTCACCGCAGCGAGTCCCCGTAAGTACTGCGGGGTCTCCAGCGAAGACCCACGCGTGCACCTCAGACGTTGTCACGCACTGTTCCAAGCTTCCTTGAGCGGCCTGGTCATTGCTCAGGCCGGCGATGGGAGACGAAGACATGGCACCAGCGGTGGCAGCGAGGGAAGTCGGCCTCTTCTTCGCTGCCAAGGCGGCAACGCAAAAAGACAAGGATAAGGAGGAGCCAGCTTGGGACCCGAACGGCCGCCCGCCCAAGTGGTCCAAGCACGACATACCGGGGGCAAGGGGGTCACCCCGAGCTGGTGGGGAGCTGGCAAAAAGGTGGGAGTTGAAGAACGGGCTGGATGCGCAGACGACGGAGCTCATCAAGGCCCTCACCAAGCTGGCTCTGAAGCACGAGGACGAGCTTCGACGGCAGAGGCCGGACCAGGACTTTATGGCTTTCTTCGACGTCAATCAGCAAGGCTTCCTGGAGCCCATTCGCCAAGCTGCCCTGCAGTGGCAGAACCAGTATACTCCAAGGGCCAGGTCACCTCCGCCCTGAAGCACGTCATGTGCCTGGGCGTGATCAAGGAGCTCAACTCTGACGCCTGCCTGGAACTACTATACCGTTGGAACGCGGAAGCAAGGGCGCAGGAGGTGAGCAAGGATCAGGATCCTCTGAGCCACACGGAGATCATGAACCAGCTGGATCTCCTCGAGAAGCATATCGCGGAGGGGAACAACCTCGCCAAGTTCGGCTCCACCCGGCCAATGGCGGAGGCGTACGAGTCCGAAGTGGCGCCGCTTCAGATCACAATAGGGATGCGGGGAAAGACGGCGGATGTGTGCGACCAGGCTCTGATGCTGCTGACAGGCAGCTCAGCTCTCAAGCTTCTCGGCCTGAGAATCCGCCCAGGTCGAGCCGCCAGACAACCTTGCGCGAAGTTTGTGGAGGAAGCCTATCTCGCAACACCGTATTGCGACTGGAGCCGCGCGCGGCTTAAGAGGAACGGGGGGGGGCAGATGAGCCTGAGGGGCTGACTGGGAATGAGTGCTTGGGCATTGTGCTGATAGGGAGCCCATCCTTCCCTTGGCTCGCCTCTGCAATCCCTCCAACTACTGTTATGTGAATGCCTTCCTTCTCCAGGTCCTCCACTGGATTGGGGAGCTGTCCATCGATATGGGCCAATGCTCGGGGTCATGTCAGGCTCTCAATACACTAGATGCCCTGGCCTGCATGGAGGCCAAGCTTTCGTGAATGGGCACGAACCACGCGTCAGCATAACATAGGAGAGTTTGCTGCCTGTCTGCTTCCGGGACTTGGGGTATCTGCTTTTCAGGGTCGTTGGGAGGCGCGACTCACCAATCCCACAACTGTCACAGATTCGGGACCTCTGGCAGGACCCATCCTGA